TTTTAAAAAAATTACACCCGAACAAAAAGTCTGGACTTGCTAAGTAGCCTTTTCCCAGTATTCTTGCAGGAAGGCAGTCATGGAATTTAAATGACAACTTGAATTCCTGGAAAGAGCTTGGAGGAAGATGAAAATAACCAGAGAGGTTCCAGCTCCAGTTTCTGTTCATACTGCATCTGTACATTCATTAGTTGCAAATGTGTTAAAGTTATGTGGAAGAATTTACAGTTCCATTTATTTCCCCCACTTTTGGCTTCTTAGGCAGACCTGGTAATAGCATCTCTGAGAGGAAGAACACTTTGCTGAGGCTCTGTGTTTTCCTCTCTCCTTCTCCCTGGCTTTTCACAAGTTATTAATAGTTCCTGGCTGTGTGTCATTGGTTCAGACAAATCACTCTGGCAGGCCAGTCTGGTAATCATCATTTTGCTACTGTCAATTTACTTTTACTCCTAAATAAACATTGATTGAGGCATTCTAAATTTGGGTCCATGGACAAAGGCCTTCCAGAACAATGAGAAGTTCAGATGCTGTGTTACTTTTCCATGAGGCTTTTTAAGAGCTTTCTATTTTAAAAGCAGTACTAGGTGCAAAACCTGACCTGGCAGTTCTGAATGTGGTTAAGCAAGTTAAGTGTTTTATGGTCATGCCTCTCACACCCATTCTCCACTACCATTGACGGGCTGGCTGGCTCCAGAAAGCCTGTTGAGATGGATAATAATAGCCTCTTTTCATTTTCCCTTTACTTCTATTTGGAGTCTTCTGAGGGGTGAGGAAAGAACAGGTCCTTGTTGTAATTTGCTAATTTTCCTTTTGTTGTTTGAATCATAACATTATACTACAATTCTCTTGCCTGAGCTGTTAAATAAGAGGGTGCACATCCAATGAAGAAATATTTTTCATAGTTTAATTTGGTGGCCCAGGAAGTCTTTAAAGGAATCTAAAGACATTAGCAAATACTACGGCCTTACTAAGCCACTATCCACACAGGAGTAACTGTAGAGAAACATGTAAGTGAGGCAAATTTTGCATTACAGCTATGTCCAGGGCATAATTTGTGCCAGAACTTGTGAACTGTATTCTCTGTTTTCAGTGCCAGGGTTTTAAACTAAAACATAAGACATACAGATAAAGTGTCTGTGAAGAGGTCCAGGTTTCTCACCACTGAGTAAGGATAGAGTACCTTCATATATGAGACAGGGGGAGGTTGTTTTCTTTTTTAGATCTGAGGGATTTGGTTTTCAGACAGACTTGAGCTTCAGTACTTCTTTTCCTGGAAATTAAATGGAAGGTTACTGAGCAGAAACTATAATATTATTCTGAAAGAAGTCTCAAATACTGAAAGTAGTAAATGTCAAGAGTGTAGCTTAAACTACATATGTGAGCAGGAAGGCTTTGGTTCCTCAATGGTATGGGAAGGACAAACTCCACATGCCCAATTATGTTCTCCTCCTCCTTCTTTTTACTATTGTTTTGCATTCATATAATATAGCAGTAATAATGATTTCCATGGCTATACCCTCATGAATTGTGACTCAAATTCAAGTGTATCTGTTTGGCTACATACTCACTCTATACTTTCCTCTATGCATATTTAACATGACTCTTGTTTTCTCTCGTTTTGCAAACCTACCCACAGGTGCCATTGGTCTTTGGACAGGCCTCTTATAGTAATTCTTTCTGATCTGTTTTAATTTTTCTTTCAGATACATCAGCGGGACTTTCCTGAGGTTTCACAAACCTAAGCCATTTCCTAACCAGCTCTTTAATAACTTGTATTTTATTGTTCCAGAGCAGAGTTTAAGAAAGGTCTTTTGTGCATCTCAACTTGTTTGCATCTGTTTGAAAAGGGGGGGGGAGAGAGAGAAAAAATGCCCCTCCAGCAAGTACATTCTCAGATCAAGTTCAGGGATGACTCCCCATCCAGCAGCATCTACTGGAAAAAACAATACATTTTCTTGCTGCCAAGCAGACACTGAGGTTTGAGCCAGATAGACTCACAATAGTGTGGAAAAAATAAGTACTCATTCAGGAAGAATGGTTCCTGTATGTACTTGCATGCTGCTTGATACACAAACAAAAATTACAATTGTCAATTAGCGAAAGCCTTTGAAAGAGAGAGCTTGGAAGAGGAAATGAAAAAGCAAATGAGCAGCTTCCATGTGGCTAATTATACAATCTATCAATTGACACATTGTTTCTACTAGTATTTCTAGCATGGATCACATCAAGGGGTGGCAAATTTGTCATATTCATGGAATGAATTGCTTGGAGGTCTGGAGCTTCTCTTGTCTTCCACAGGTCTTCACATTCACAGACATTCTATTGCTCTCAGAAATGTTTTTATCTAGCAAGTTCTCCATCAGATACTGCTGTCTAATTCAATCATTCTTTTCGGATGCCATATTTTTATCTTCCACTCTTCCTTTTCTTCCTGAGGACCAGTTTGTTCTTTCCCATTTCTCATTTCCTAATTGCATTGCATCTTCTCAGATTCAAAATTCCTCCCTCTGGTCTTTTCATAGCTTGATTCTTGTGCATCACTGTTTCCTTCACTGTTCTTGGAACTTTTATGCTGTAAGCCGCCCTGAGTAGACGTGGTCTAGAAGGGCGGGGTATAAATTTAATAAATAAATTAAATAATAAATAAATAAATAAATAAATAAATAAATAAATTCTTGGAACTTTGATATTCTTCTTTCTTCATTAAATATTTCCAAAAGTTCTTCTGATTCCTTCCCTAGTTCTTTTGAACTAATTCTCCATTTCCTTTGGAAATAGGATGTGATGTCAGAGAAGTTCAAACAGTGTCAGAGATATTTCTTTCTCATCAGACTTTTTTGGCCAGTCACTGCTTTGTGGCTGTGCTTCTCACCAGAGTCATACTAGTGAGAAGTACTGACATTTAGCAGCAAACCACTAAATGCCTCCTTAAAATAGTTCAAAAATGCATTTGCAGTCCTATATTGTCCTCCAGGTATGATTATGAGACAGATTTACATAGACAGCTATGAAGCAAAACCCTATGTATTAATTGCCACATTCCTTCTCTTCCTGCTAGAAAATGTCACGTTGCTGAACCAGCTTTTATACCTGTACACAGTAGTCGGGAATATAAGAGTGTAGATGATCCTGGTCTTGAACTCCAGTGACACATCCTCACACATGATAATCTTTTCTAATTCCTTCATTACTGCCCATCCAAGTCTCAGTTTTCTTCTAATTTCTTGGCTGCAGTCTCCATTCGGATTGATGATTGAACTGAAGTATACAAAAATCTTCAACAATTTCTGTTTCTTCATTGCCATCATTAAAGCTGTGTAGTTCGTCTGTAGTCATGGTGATTTTTGTCTTCTTAATGGTGTAACATAAATCATCCATTTATACACAACCCTAATTCCATATACCTCATGTTATTAACAAATGACAATAATGTGTGAACAAGAAACAACTACATGTTTGGTATATGGCCCATTTTTCAACACTAGCTCATATATTACCTTCTTAACAGGTAGATGGAGATGTATTTCAATCCCCTCCTTATATTTTTGCATGATGCATTGAGCTGCTGGAAATAAATGGAGTTGCATTTGCCCTTCAATTCATTACTCTGTGGGAGAAGAAACAGCATCCTAGTCAATTTTATTTGCGGCCTGTGGTCTTATTTAGTATTGCCATAAATCACTTACCTTGGAAAGAGATGCTGTGCCTAAGTAGATAAAGGGAGTGGGTACCTGGTTTATAGAAAGTGTTTCTTCTCTAGCTACACTGGAGCAAAGGGTGCAGTGAACAAAGTGTGATGTTTTAAGATGCATTTAAAAGTTTCCTCTGTATTTTGTTTTGCTTTTGCAGATGTGCTTGAGAGAGCAGTGGTGAGAGCAAGACAAGGCACTAGAATGTCAGATTGTCCTGGAAGGACAACTGTTGTACAGTATATCACAGACGTGAGTACACCCCCTAAAATAACACAACACACAGCCAGGAATGTCTAAAACACTGGCAACAAAAGTGACTACACCCCTAAGTGACTATGTCCAAATTGGGCCCAAGTAGCTGTTTTATAAGACCTGTTAGTGTCACAAGTCTCAGGTATGAAGGGGGAGCAGGTGTTATCGCTCTCACTGTCTCAGATTGGTCACTGGAAGTTCCACATGGCACCTCATGGTAATGAACTATCTGAGGATCTGAAAAAACGATTTGTTGCTCTACATAAAGATGGCCTGGGCTATAAGAAGATTGCCAAAACCTGAAACTGAGCTGCAACACCTTGGCCAAAACCATACAGCAGTTTAACAGGACAGGTTCCACTCAGAACAGGCCTCGCCATGGTGGACCAAAGAAGCTGGGTACCCGTGTTCAGCATCATATCCAGAGGAAATAGATGTATGAGTGCTACCAGCATTGCTGCAGAGGTTGAAGGGGTGGGGATGGGGGTCAGCCTGTTAGTGCTCAGACCATATGCCACAAACTGCATCAAATTGGTCTTCAGGGCTGTCGTCCCAGAAGGAAGCCTCTTCTAAAGAGGGTTAAAGCAGTCACTTTTGTTGCCAGCAGTTTAGACATTAATGGTTGTGTGTTGCATTATTTTGAGGGGACAACACATTTACACTGTTATACAAGCTGTATAATCAGTGCTTTACATTGTAGCCAAGTGTCATTTCCTCAGTGTTGTCACATGAAAAGATATACTAAAATATTTATGAAATGTGAGGGGTGTACTCCCTTCTCTGATATACTGCACATTTAAGAGGAATGCCATGGGTCCACATAGCAAGACCACCAAGAGAATGGATTCCATTTTTACTCAGGCCTGAGGAATCTCCTGGCAGGAAGCATTCCAGAATCCCCCTGGAGATTATATTTCCGCACATGATGAAGGGACTGTCCATGAAAGTTACTCTTAAGCTCCTAATAAGCAAGTTTCCAACCCTTCTGAGTGTGACACATGCTGATGAGGTTTTCCAACTGTCTTAATGATCTTCATGCCTTTATTTCTCTCTCAGGGACCTAAACTATAATGAGCTGGTGGAATTCCCGGTGGCCATTAGGACACTCGGACGACTTCAAGAGCTGTAAGGCATTTTTTTTTTAAACTTTCTGTAGGAACAAAGCTCAAAGAGATAATCTGGGCTTTTGTGTAGGGAGGAATGCACATTCCAAACATTAATGTGCATTCCTCTTTCACCATTTTCCTCATAAATACTGCTTATTCTTCTTCAGCATGGCAAAACATGCCTCACAGACATGATGTGGCTTCCGAAGAGATGGGCATGCATTATGGGTAATAGAATATGTTCAGATGGTCCTGTTTTGGGAGATGGTGGATGGCATTAACTGTTCCAGTGCTTCCACATCTTGCATTCTACCCAGAAGGATTGCTTTAGGAGTTCTGGTCCCTGTCAGGTTAACGTGCTTCCGGGATATGGCGTAGATTATGGAATTTTGACTATCAATGTTTTTTGGCTTTTCATAAGCAGAAAGGGTATCTCCCATACTTGCTTCCATATATTCTGCTTTTATTGTAACTAAAGGTTTAAATCCTTCCTTGTTGTGCTCTTATGTGCAAGAATGACAAACTGTAAACTTTCCTCCTTGTTTGCAAGACATTTAGATATTTTCTGGTGTTCTTGACAAGAGCCCTTCTCTATTTGTGAGAATAATTTTTGCACAAATTGTATAACTTGTTTAGTGAAACATTATGAAAGCTGCTGCCTTGTTGCGTGGACTTTTAAAAATTAGAAGCATTTGATGTGTTGTTGCAATTGTATCTTTTTTTTGTCGATCCACTATTCCTTCAGCTTTTTCTGTGTGTGTGTATTAGTATGGCACAAACAGAAGATGTATTTTTGCCCAAAGATACATTGCAAAAATTATAGATACCTTGGGTAAAGGAAAACTCTGTCTCTTGTCTCTCTCTCGTAGAGGCTAGAGATGTGTCAACAAGTTGGCTTGGTATTTATATGAGGTTTTTTTGTTTAATTTATATACCATCCATCTAGTTGAGAGCTACTCTAGGCGGTTTACAATAGGAGGCAAAACAATGCAACAAGTAATAAAAACATCCATACTATTAATCTACCACAACAAGTGAAGGAGAAAAAAGGAATTTATTTTTATAATTGATGTAGGTTACAACTGCAATTTAGGGTGAGCTACATTTCTTCTTAAATGTGAAGTACAAACAACTCTGGAGATATGCACCTCACCTGTGGCGTCACCCCTTTCCACTCTCCTTTCTTGTGCTTGTGCTCCTTTTTTGGTATCTAGGCAAGGACAAATAATTCTGCAATTATTCTTCACACACTTAGCTGCAACTACTGTTTTTGATGTGAGGAGGCAAAAGCTACTCATTCAATTTAGCTAGAATGCTGACCTGATTAAAAGGTGCTGCTTACATTCCTTCTTTTGCATCTCAAGTAGGCTTTTTCTCAAACATGCACATATACATCACAAGTTGTTGGGAGGTTAAAATAAATCTTTGTGCTCTTTGGACAACACCATGTGTCTTGGAACCGCAATATTCGAAGGAGGGCCTCTCCATATATCAGGAGGAAGGGGCAAACCTTTGGCACTTCAGATATTTTGGACAACAGTTCCCACAATCCTTTGTAAGTGGCAATGTATTGTAACTGGGTATTCTGGGAATTGTTGTCCAAAACATCTGGAGTGCCAGAGATTCATCACCCCTGCCATATATAAACTTGCCCAATCACTAAGATTTGCTGAAGAGACCTTCCTCCACATCCCACCATTGAGAACTGTACACCATGTGGAAATGTGAGGGAAGATGTTCTCAGCAATAATTCCCCAACTGTGAAATGCCCTCCTTGGAAGCTCAACTGGCTCCAACATTACCATCATTTCAGTACCAAGTCAAAAAAAATTATTTATTAGTGTCCCTGGCCACTGAGTATCTTGGCTTGCATAGATCTTAATGCAATGGTTTTAATGTTTTAATTCTGTGTGTCTTAAACTGTTTCAATTTTAAATTGTTTGAAAGACTGTACATTTTTATATTGTCTTGCAAGTCACTCTAACCTGTCCTGAGATCTTGCAATATAAATGGCATAAGTAGGTAGGTAGGTGGGTGGGTGAGTAGTTAGGCAGGCAGGTAGATAGGCAGGTAGCTAGATAGATGTGTGTATATGGCAAAAGGATGATAGGTGGTAGCTTGCTGTCCTGAACACACACAGCAAAACAGAAGTCTGCACATTTCCCCCATGTGTGAAACTAAAAACAAGATTTAAACAATCATATATAGTTTAAATCAGTGTTGTGTGAAGCTTGTCTAATGTTCCAATGCTTAAGCAGTGCCCATTCCATATTTTACCCCTTAATGTTTTTTTGTTTAACAGTGGCTTCCATAACAACAACATCAAGGCTATTCCAGAAAAAGCATTTGCAGGAAATCCACTGCTTCAGATTATGTAAGAAGTGGGACTATCCAACTCTGAGCTCTGCTTTAACCTCTCCCCACTCCACCCCTACCTGCAACCATGCATATCATAAGGAGTCGAACAGTGTTGGTTCCAGCATAGCACTTAGCAAAGTTCTGTTCATGTTAGAAGAGCAAATTGTGGAAATGAGCGCTTCAGTTTGTCTGTCCTCCTTAAGGGACCTAGAAGGGCAGGACAAAAGATGACACAGAGGACTGAAACAGGGAGGATAAATTGTTGATGATTATCTTCCCACCCACATTCTCCAATGGGAAGGCTCTGCTGGAGCCCAAAGTGCCTTCTAGACCTGGGATTGCCAATCTGGGCACAATACTGTATCTGGGGATATTGAGTCCAAGGCCACCATCTGTACATTTATTGGAGGAAGGCTAAGGAAACAATACCAAGGCAACTTGGGTGGTTATATCTTGGCTTTTCTTTGCCTATTTCGAAACCCATATAATCTACTGTATTCCATTAGGTCCTGATAGTTATGGAATGAGAAATGAGGAATGGGCAATTAATTGATTCAGTATTGTCCTTATCCTACTCAGCATAAAGCAATGGTCTATTTTCAGATACAGAAAAACACAAAGGTTCATATCTGGGGAAAGGGAACTGCTGAATGAGTCACCTAAACAATGCTCTTGAGATGTTTTCACACTTTTCTTACTCCATTCTTCCAGATACCTCTATTTGCCATTTGCTACATTCTTTTTAATTTCATCCCAAAGTTCTCCCCCAGAGGCAATAACAGAGGCAATAGGGAATGGGCTAAATCTTTTAAACTTTCTTGTGCATATAATGATATTAACAGTATATTTTTTCCTTCATTCAGGACCTTGACACGAGCTGGGATCCGTTTGCTTCCTGGAGAAATGTGCCAGCAGTTGCCCAGCCTTCGCATTCTGTGAGTTCGAAACACATCCTCCCTTCTTACTAAGACTCTTGATATGTGCCTTTGCTACCAAGACACTAGTCACTGATGCTTGCTGCTGACCAGTCAAGCAGAAATATGCATTATACAGCTGTGATATGTTTTGCACTCTGCTCCTTTTTCCACTCCAGGAACTGACCACTAGCAAATTCCTGTGATTGCCTTTGCATCATTTCTCAGATAATTTCCATTGTTGCTCCTGTGGACCCCCACTCTGGTCCCTGAATGCCACTTAATAGTGTCAGTCACGACATATTGTTCTGACATTTTACAGTGAAGAATAGATGGGAAGAGAAGGAAGACGGGAGAATAATTTAGGGTTAAAATCAAGGTGATCTTGTGATGGAAGTTGAAGGAAATGTTGAACCTACACGGCAGTTAAGATCTAGCCAGGGGGCCCTCCTGAAAGAGCCATCCTTCAAGGAGGTAAGAGGGATGGCTTGTAGACCAAGGGCCTTTCCGCAGCTGACCCCAGACTATGAAACGCCATCCCAAGTCACATTTGTCTGGTGCCGACGTTTATTTTATTTTATTTACAAGATTTTTTAGCCGCACCATTACCAGTGGTCTCTGAGCGGCGATAGCATTGATGATGTTTTGGTGCCAGGTCAAAACCTTCCTGTTCCAGAAGGTTTTTAATTGAAATAATATCAACTGTGGATCCTGATGGCAATTTTTAGAGCATGTATTTTAATTGTTTTATCTTTTTATTGTATTCAAATTATTGTAAGCTGCCCAATCAATCAACCAACCAACCAACCAATCAATCAATCAACCCATCAACCCATCCATCCGTCCGTCCGTCCGTCCGTCCGTCCGTCCGTCCGTCCGTCCGTCCGTCCGTCCATACATACATACATACATACATACATACATACATACATACATACATACATACATACATACATACATACATACATACATACATAAAACTATTAATGTATTCTACAGTTAAATCTACAGCACCGGCTTCAAAGTTCCTAAAGATACAGAAGCATGTTTTATGCCTGTCTTCAGACAGTGGTAAACTGTATAGGTCAACCCCCAGCAAACAAGCACATAGCAGTTGTAGCTTTGGCTTTTTTATAGAGAAGTGAATGGACAAGGAATCCAGTAGTAAGTTGCAACTAAGGTAGACCCATCAAATCAGTGGGGATTTGGTGAGCCAATTCCTGTGTAAGTTCCACTGATTCAATGGCCTATTCTAGTAATTTACTCCTGGATTTCAGCCATTGAATGAATAGGGGAAGGATTGAGTAACCTAGAAATAATATCAGGAACCAGACATAGAAATGAATGGGATAACTGGTGCCAAGTGTCAGGTGGGTGCAAAACAGATATTAATCTGTCTCTGGGGTTTCCTGGTTCTCCAGCTGCATAGCCTGAGGACACCTACTTCTTTCCACCACACTATATGCATTCCAAAATGAGCCTTTGAGAAGGCTGCCATTGTTCTAAACCTTGTTATTTTCCTCACAGTGAACTCTCCCACAATCAAATTAAGGAGTTGCCCAGTTTCCACTACTGCCAGAGGCTGGAAGAAATGTGAGTAGCTGTCGCTTTGGGGCAAGTTGTGGTGGAATTCCTAAGTCTGAGCATCCGGTTAAGCAATCTGTGTGAATGGATGAACAACAGAGAGCTGGATCTTGAAGAATAGATGCCTAATCGGGACTTTTCCAGAAGTTTAATATCTTTGGCATGTGGCCAGTGTAGTAGTTCTTGCATGGATGTTTGAAGCAACTTCATAAGCCATTCCTAAAGTCAAGGTGATGGCATCATTTGAATGCTGTTTGGCAACTTGTTTCCAATCCCTACTGAGCTATGAAAATCATAGAGTTAGCTTGGAGTCACTGTGTTCTCTCAGAGCTGTGGTGAGACCAGCTATATATGCCACCGTGAGCTCATTGGAAGAAAAGCAAGGACTAAAATTAACTAATAAATAAAGAACACATGTTGGGAGCATCATTAATATTTTGTGAGGAAGGTCAAGGTAACAAGGTTAGGGCAAAAGAGGCATGTGTTAGCTGGCACTGAGGCTTTGTTTCTCCAGTGTTTTCCTCCTCTTCCCCTCACACATGATATTCCCATGGGTGGAATTGCCAGCTGGGGATATTGAGTCCTCCCGGCTCTATAGTAGGAGCAGATGCTGAAGAGACCTGTGAACTGCTGGTATAAAGAAACCTTGGTTGCTTGTAACTCCCAACAACAAGAAGCAAGGTTTTTATTTGAATGGGGTTGCTGTCCCAGGCCTGAGGCTAAGTGCAGGGAAAGGAGTGGATAGGACTGGGGTCTTTTGTTTCTTGATCCACTTTCCCCTTGAAATTTGAACTCCTTCACAGCCCTTAATTGACATAGCCTTCATGGCAGGAGTGCTTTCTTCTGTTGCCAACAAGCATGGAGAACTCCATGAAGCATATATCCCTTTCTTATTGTCGTCTTTCTGTCTTTGCAGTGGCCTTCAACACAACTGCATCTACGAAATTGGAGCAGACACATTCAGGCAGCTTACAGCTTTACGCTCCATGTAAGTACAGCTCGCAAGGAATGATCAGAGGGTTTTTATTATGATAGTGACAGAAAGTCAGAGAGTGGCGAATAATACAATGCTGTGTGCTCAGGGCATGATCACAGATCCATCCATACAAAGACCCTTTCAAACCAAATTGGCCATACTAGCCCATGAATCACACAGCAGTCCTTTCTTACTATGGCATCTACTTTTCCCTGCAAATGAGAAGCACTGGAATCTGTAGTTCAATACATTTGGACACAGACTCACCCCTACAAAAGGACCAGATCAAAACAAAATGTGATATGAACATATATATTACACATATAGTAAAAATTATCACATATCTCACACAGAGAAATAGTTTGTCACATATTACTTTTCTCAGAGTCAGATGTGTATGCAGAACAGAAATAGATTTGCACTCCCACAATATTCCAAACTTTTCGACTAGAAATTAAGGTATAAATAAGTTAATAAACACGCCAATGATTAGAATTTACCACACATTTCCCCAGCAGGCTTTGTCCAGTCCACAACATTTTCTCCAGAGCCAGTCCTCAAAACTCACAGTCTTGTACTTCCTGCCCAACATTGCTTTCCTGCCTATTTCATTCATAAATGAAGTGTACACGTACAAGAATATAACAAGTGCAAGAATATAAGTCAGAAGCAAGTACAAGAATATAGATTAGAAAGGAATGGCCCTTCATATCCTCCATAGCCCATTAAATAATTACATATTAAAGGGGCCTGTTGTGTGACTGGTTTTCCTAAAACTCATGTATCTGAGATTCTACTGTGATATAATATTCACACCATAGCTGTAAAAATCCATAGATAACTCCTTCCTCAGACTTTAGCAGGGGTGAACAACTGTGGCACTCTACATGCTTGGAAGGGCTTGGTCCTGCAATTCTCATCAACTTAGCCAGCTTAGTCACCATTGAGGAACTATGGCAACTGCAGTCCAGACACATCTGTTGGATCGCCATCACCCATTTTTTTTTTATCTCTGTCTTTCACAATAGTTACATCTATAGCCATAGAAATGATCTGTCATTCATTATTTACATATAAAAAGTGGAATGTATACAAAGCTGGAAATGCATGCTGTGTTGGAAAGAAGTTTTTGATTGAAAGTGGACAAGATTGGAAAAGGGGGTGAACTGTGGGAAGAATGAAAGAGGACCTCATAAGAAAGAGATGCTATGGATAAATTTTCATGGGGATTGGATTGCATTCAGAATTACCATGGAATTCTTACTGCTTACAAAAAAAATAATTCCCAAAACTTTGTTGAAAGAGACTGAAACCTTGCCTGCAAAGTATAGATCTAGAACCTGCAGCCTTATTATTTAAGAACTGCTATATGGTCCACCCAAAACTTTGTTGAAAGAGACTGAAACTTTGCCTGCAAAGTATAGGTCTAGAACCTGTAGCCTTACTATTTAAAAACTGTGTTTCTGTATGGTCCATCACTATATGTGTTTTTATTTTTCTATTTTATTTTTCTTCGCAGAGATTTGGGTTGGAATTACATACAGTCTATCCACTCTGAGGCCTTTGTGACACTTCACTCTCTCACTAAGCTGTAAGTTTCACAGAGGGCATAAAACACATTTATAAAGGTGATCTTTCCTTAATTTGTCGTGTTGGTACATAAGGAGAAATGTATGAGGGGCCCCTGAGAAAAGCACATGCTTTTGTTATGGGATGTATCGTATCAACTCTAAGACATCTGTTGTAAAAAGGTTTCTGTGGAAAACTTATGTGTATGACCACACCTCTCAGCACCTTAGCTAAATTGTCATATAGAGATTACACAACTTGCTGGTCCCATAATTGCTGTAGTGTGGTTCAAGGTGGGTGATCAACATAGCATCCAACTCTTTATAGCACGTGCATAGCAGAAATGAAACAGGATGCAAGGACACACCCAGTCACTGTGCTAATGTGCTGCAGAGATAGGAAGTTTAACAGAAAAGGATTAATCATTTAATTAAATAGTAGTGAGTTCAATGACTGTCTCAATTAGGACTCGCTAATAGTTAACTGTTCAATTTTTTTTTACTGTATTTCCCATCTCTGAGGTACAATCACTTTTCCATCGCAGTGATGGGACAGAACAAAAAGTGACAGTGGCCAGATATGCATTTATAAATTAAATTGTGTAACACAATATGCCAACAAGGCAAATACCCAGCTGTACAACAAGTATACACCTAGAAATCTGACCAGCACCTCATTAGTTAATGGCAATGCATTGCAGTAAGTTATGAAATTTAATTCAAGCATGTATAAATCACTGACAGTAATCATAGTGGCTGAAATCCTGTTGCCACAACTTATATCATGTAACACTGATATCATTAACAACAACCATTTTTCTGATATTAAACCTTTCTGACTTCTCTTCCAAAGTTCCTGAGGCTCCCATGTAATTTCTTTCATTGTTGGGGAGTTGCAGGATGGAGTGAGTTTCCTAATGGGAACCTATTTTGGTCATTAAAGATTTCCCCTTCCTGTCTCGTGGCTTCAACAGTCAGTGGTTGCTGCATTTTGTAACCACTGCAGTTTCTGGACACTTTCCAGAGGCAGCCCCATGTAGAGCACGTTACAGCAATCCATCTAGGATGTAACTAAGGCATGTGTCACTGTGGTCAAGACAGACCTCTTCAGGAACAGGTGCAGGTGGCACACTAATTGTGCAAATGCACTCCCGGCCACTGCCAAAACATGGCATCCAGACTCAGAGACCCCCAACCCCTTTAGTTAGTTCAAACAGCTGCTGGCAAAGTCACCCCTGTTGATGTGGGTGGTGGTGGGGATTACACAACAGAATACCAATGAGTTTATTACATTGTTATTTTGGTCTTCATCCCATGAAGTTCAGGATACTATACAAGTTGGGTCCTGCCTTGATATACTGTATGCTCATAAGCACTGTGCAACTGAGAAAGACTGAGTGGTTAGTCATTACTCAGCTTTGTCACTAAGCAGAGAATTTTGAACCTCGGTCCCCGTGCTTCTATGCCTAGACTATACTGGTTATAATTATTTATAATTAGGTACTTCTAGGCTCTCTGTGTTATTTTACAGTATGGCATCATTATTCAGATGCACACTGCATTTCCCCCCCCCCCCAAGTTTTGCTAGTTAAGCATGGGAAGGAGAGAAGCAGTTTGCATTGTTCTTTCCTTTTTCTGTCTTTCTTTCTTTCAAGTCATCTAAATGGATTCCTATAATAGCTTATAATCAAAATATGAACAACTTTGAAATACTAATCATATAAACACTGAGTGATCTCTAGAATAAAAACATTGCAAGGCTGGCACTCACCACTCTCTTCCACTGCCCCTTGTCCCTGTTACATATCTAGGGATTTGACTGACAATCAGCTGATGACACTGCCGCTGGGTGGTTTGAGTGGACTGACTCATTTGAAGCTGAAAGGCAACCCAGCACTGTCTGAATCCTTCAGTAAAGAAAGCTTTCCCAAGATGAGGTGAGGTTTGTTTCTGATTTCTGGCTTCACAAGGTTCTCTCTCTCTCTCTCTCTCAGAACTTTATTTGCTTTGATCTGCCTTCTGCTGTCCATGTTTATCAGACATTTCCATGTCCTTCAGTTAAGCCAGAAGCTTGAGCAATCTTGATTCCTGCTCTCACTCTGAATCCATCACTGCCTCGAGAAATCAGTGAGCCAGTGAATGTCTTGTCACTGGCATCATCCAAATTCACACAAGGCAGAGGCCCTGGAAGCAGGGGACTCCCGCCTGGGGCTTAGCAAAGCGGAAAACCTTTGCAAAAGCCAACCTCAGTTAATGACATCCAGCCGTCCTACAATAAATGCTATTTGTGTGGCCATGTCTTGCCTGCTGTGGATTAATGAGCTGCCTGGAGGGGCTAGAGTAAACAGCAAAGACAATGCTCAATAAGCTGAGAACACAATGGCAAAGGTGGAGCAACATTTACTCTTCCTGTATGTGGGGAGTCCTTAGTCACTGCTACCACTCCATTTAGTTCAGTGTCTTTGCCAATCGCCAAGTGCACTGGGTTTCGAACATTATCCAGGCACTCTCAGAGCTCAGCCTAGAGGACAATATGGGCTTTATGTTTCCATCCCATCTTGGCTGCCCATTAAAAGAAACCATAGAAACATGAACCACACAGATCATGCTCAGGAGGATGGGCTCCTGTACCTTGAACAGTTTATGTGGAAGAGGGAATGTCAGCAACAATGCTAGTGTTGCTCAAACCTGTATGAGCTGCTTCCATTTGCAAATTGTGCAACTATTACAGGGAGGGGAGTTTTGCTCCCCCTTGCATCTTCTTAATCTGATGAAGGCTATCTTTCCTGCAACATGAATTTCTACATAGACATGCATAGAAAAGTAGGTGAAAAATTAACTAGCAGCCCTACATTCTTCTCCCTAGAGTGCTGGAGGTACCCTATGCTTACCAGTGCTGTGCCTACGGAGCATGTGGAAATTTCTTCAAAGTATCCAGTCAGTGGGACTCTGAGGATATAAGCCCTGAAGACGATGATGGTCACAAGAGGACCTTAGGACTGTTTCCAGGCCATGTGGACAATCACTGTAAGTATCCAGATGTGCAGCTGTAGGTGCACAGCCAGGTGTTAGACAAAAAGGCAGTCTCTCCGGTGGTGTCAAAAAAGAAGTCCAAAATCTGGGCCAGGATGGTGCACAAAACTGACAGTTGCAGTCAGTTCAAAACAGCAAGATAAAGAATTTAGGATATAAGGTCATTAATTAGAGACCTATTGGGTTGCCAGTCTAAGCAAACAGTACTCAGAAAAGAAGTCAGAAAAATATGAAGGTCACGTTGCCACAGTGTCAAGTATTCAAGAGAAAATTGGACAAGCATCTGTCAGATCTGCTTTGATTTGGATTACTGTACTGCACTGAGAAGAGGGTTGGACTTGATGGCTTTACAGGCCCCTTTCCAACTCAATTATTCTATGATTTGAAAAGTGATCAATGCTCCTATGAGTGTGGCACATACTGTACAACCATGGCTCCTATGAAATTTATCACCAGTGATTGTGTGTGTCATATGGATCTTGAAATCAATAGCAAAAGGTAACATCATCATTAAGTGGAAGGAACTGATGTAAAAACACCTGCGAGGATTCCCTCATGAGTCTGGGTTTAAGGCTGTGATTAAAGCAAAAATTAAGCCAGTATAAAGACCACAGGGATATCACTGAGAAGAATAGCAAATCCATCCCCAGTATTTGGAGCAAATTGCAATCATCCTAGCTGCACATTTTCATTGTATCGTTGTTATCCTAATGTTTGTGACTTGTCCAAAGCCTTTAAGTGTAGATTGTGTTACGTAAAGAACTAGAAATACAGATTGAAGTGCATCTTGGGAAATGTTATGTATAGCAAAGATCAAAGTCAGACAGTGTATTCCTTGTGGCTGTTGAAGAGAGGGGCCCAGCTTCTCCCTTCAGCAAGCCTTTCTGTTGCAAAGGGATTTCTGTGTGACTGCAAGTCACATGCGAAAAACATTGATGGGAGTACATGGAGTCTCAAACCGCAGCTCGGATTGTTTGTTTGCTGCATGTCATGATTGTATAAACACATGGCCCACACACACAGTCAAGACCAAGAGAGTCTTGTTAAAATGAGAAATTCATTCAACACAGAATAACAAAGGGAGAGGGGATTAGCCATTTCTTGATCCTTCTGAGACAGCCTTCTGGCCTGTGTTAGAATGGACTACTGTTAGGTGACACAGTAGCTACACTTGAAGAAACAAGGATAATGGTCCCACAGTTTGTATGACAGGCCTTCAGGCGGAATCACCTGTAGTCTGGAGTTTTCGCCATAATTTGTTTGATACATTCTATTAATTAATAGAATTCAAATTTAATCATCATTTTTCAGTAAAGGAACAAGTGATATGGAAGCCCTTTCATGGTACTGTACTTTTTTGAAATGTACTAAGAAATAGAAGTACTCTCTCACTCTTTCTCTCTCCCGCGCACGCTCTCAGTTCTGAGGCTTCCTATCATTAGAAAGCAATATTTTATTGGAAGAAGATTTTACACTGGGGAATGTCCTAGTTCTAGAGATTGGAGGTGTTGTTTTTCTGAATTACAGAATCCCCCTAGCCAGACATACTATTAGAGCCAGTAAATTCCCTACCTTCTGCTTTAAATGCAAAGAATAGTAACAATTGCAGACACCTTTCTTCTAAGTGGCCTAAAACTGAGGAACATCTGGCAGGCGTTTATCTTCTTTTGGCAGAAATGGTCTACCCTATAATCAGCCTTGGACAAGGACTCAGCAGATGGGGATCTGGGTTCAAATTCCTTCTCAGCCACTGAAACTCACTTGGGGGGGTTAGCATTTGAAACAGTACTCCTTAAATATCTCACATACCTTGAAAACCTTTTTTCGATGGATATAGCTTGGGTGCAACTTGTTGGTACATAACATACAACACAAACTTCTAGGTCTGGTATGTTACCACCAGTAAAACATGAGATAAAATAATTCTGCCAGCTTACCAAAAATGTAGTGAACAACAGTCAGCCTATTTGAATTCTATTGGGGGCGGGAGCATCCCCTGTCCATGAGAGAACTGATTTGCTCAGTTTCTGTTCCTGGAAATACTTTGTACTGACAGAAAAGAGAGTGGATTCATGTGGCCACAAGGAATGGATCTTACATGCTTTTTATACTGTGCCATTTGGCCTGGCTTTGCATCCAGAAGAACATAGAGTAGGTTTCTGCTTGCAGATTCAATAGAAGCACTGTGTGGTTCCCTTTGTACAAGCAAGCTGTTTTGATGGCAGGATGTTTGTGGGAAAAGAATATGCACCTTTTCCGTAGACTCCAGAGCCTGCCCAAATCATGTTCTTGACACCTCTAGTTAAATAAACAGCAAAGACTCAGCTGTCTAGACTGCTGGGAACAGGTCATTCTCTTCTATGTGCCAGCATATGCCTAGCCTAGCCTGGAATTACCTGAGCCTCCTACAGCAAGAAGGCATCAATGATGGCCATTGCAACTCATAGACATCCAGGATTTCCCACCCAACAATTTTTTGTGAAAAAAATGGTCATGTACATATTTATGGCAGAAGACAAGCTTTATTGAAGACAGAAATCCTTAATAGTAAAGTTGTTACCATATTTCCTGACAAAGGCTCTGTGTCTTTAACAGCTGCAAGACCAACAAAACCCACTTGCTTCATTCCAATAACAGAATAAGCAGCATCTGTTGAATTTTCTGTACATGAAGTACATAAGTCATTCTGGGCGTGGGGTGGGAGTAGTGCAGTGCAAGACGCTTGAGAGAAAATTCATCTTGTTTTAGCTGTCTTCTCTGCTAGCCTATATAAATCCCCGTAAACTATTTCAAGGACATTTTCTGACAAGAAGGCACTAATAGCACTGTTTCCTTCTAATATCTAAGGACTGGATAATTTATGGAAATACTATGTTACACATAAGGCAATCTAGCAAATAGTTTCTCGCTCACACAGAGAAAGAGAGAGAGAATGAGAGAGAGAGAAAACAGTTATCATGTCAGGGGGAGCTCTCAGGTTTTGTTGGACAGCAAATTTCATCAATACTGGGCAGCATAGCCATAATGGTGAGGGATCATAAAAGTGAGGGCGCAACTGTCCAGCAACATCTGGACGGTCACACGTTGCCTTATCGCTATACATTTAACAACAAGCAAAATATTGCTTTAGACGAAGCCCCAAATTTATCATGGGAAGCAGTCTGAAAGCACTATCCTTCTGTCTGCTACCCTGGATTGTTGTAACCATGACCTCAGATGTAAGCAAGCTGCTGAAATTTAATCTGTGTCTAATGACCTTGGACATTCGGCAGTTATTTTTATGGATTATAAAATCATGGCACAGATACAAGATTAATTGTTGATTTTAGTGGGGATGCTCTGTTTCCCCTTGAATCTTTTAGAATAGTATTCAGGCATATAAGGCTTGCTGCCTTATTTATAAGGTCCAGAAATGTAGAAGAGCACAGCAAAGACATCACTTTTGTCATATTACCTCTGCTCCCAATTTTAAGAAAATAAGCAATATGCCTGGTTCATAATACAAAGCTGAGCATGAATGTACTTGTGCTGTCTTTTCATATTACTTTCTAGATGACCTGGACCTGGATGACTTCCAGCTGGAACGTGAAGATTCAAAACTGCACCCCAACATCCAGTGCACACCCAGTCCTGGTAAGAAAGACTCTAAACTAAGTACAATATGGTTTTTTAAAATCCCAGTTTGTTTTTAAGACCATCAAAATATATAAATACAATGGGAGCCAACAAATACTGCTTCTAATATGGGTCACTTGATGACTGAATTGATCATCCACTATCAAGTTTGTTTTTGTACTCAGCAAGCTGATGATTTAGTTTCTTTACAAGGAGCATCTAGTTTGTTTTTGTACTCAGCAAGCTGATGATGATTTAGTTTCTTTACAAGGAGCATTTCTAGCTCTTAATGGTGTAAATCAAATGCATGTTAGTGTTTGCTTGAAAATATTGTATTGGGGTAAGAGTGAGCAGGTTTTTCAGCATTCTCTCTCCTGTTTAACTTTGCTTTTTTTACAAACTAGCTGAAGCAGAATTTTAAAAAAAACTCATAGAATAAGCTTCTGCTCTTCAAATGTCCAGATCCAAATTCTAATTGCTGCTTGGTTTTCAAACTGTTGAGCTACACAGCTAAGACAGTTGCACCATCACTCTGCCTCCCTTGGGAAATGAGCCTTCCTACTTCAAAGCATGCAGCCTTAGTGTATTTTAGGTTCAGAAAGCTTCTGTTACTTCATCTGCAGGGTACAGCAAAATGGCCAGGTGCCTGCCACCTCTTGCCAATGCTCTGCAGAGTATTGTGTTAGCTCCTCTGCTGCAGTATCGTCTCTGTGCACTTTGTAATTATGCTCCTTCCTTCTTTCCAGGTCCTTTCAAGCCCTGTGACCACCTGTTTGAGAGCTGGGTCATCCGACTGGGGGTCTGGCTGATCACGCTGGTCTCCCTCCTATGCAATGGACTAGTCATGGTGGTTGTCTTTGCCTCACCAGGCTATATCTCCCCCATCAAGTTTGTCATTGGCACCATTGCCGGAGCCAACACGCTGACAGGCTTGTACTGCGCCATTCTGGCTTTTGTGGATGCACTCACCTTTGGGCATTTTGCAAAATATGGTGCCAGGTGGGAGACAGGCACAGGGTGCCAAGTGACTGGATTCCTCTCAGTATTTGCTTCAGAGGCTTCCATTCTTCTCCTAACCCTGGCTGCAGTGCAGTGCAGCCTTTCAGTGTCATGCATGCGGACGTATGGGAAGGTGCCATCCTTTGGTGCTGTTAAGTCAAGTGCCCTGGGTTGCTTAGCCCTTTCTTCAGTGGCCGCAATGCTGCCCCTCTTCTCTGTTGGGGAGTATGGGGCATCCCCTCTCTGCTTACTCTACCCACTCCCTGATGGGAAGCCTTCTATGCTGGGTTTCATGGTGGCCCTGGTGCTGGTGAACACCCTCTGCTTCCTCATCATCACTGGGACATACATTCGCCTCTATTGCAACCTGCTAAAAGGCGAGTTTGACTCCATCTGGGACTGTGCCATGATCAAACACATTGCTTGGCTTATTTTCACTAACTGCCTCCTCTACTGCCCAGTAGCTTTTCTGACTTTCTCTTCCATGCTCAGCCTCTTCCTTATCACACCTGAAGTCATCAAGTCTATGCTGTTGGTAGTGCTTCCTCTGCCAGCCTGCTTGAATCCCCTGCTCTATCTGCTCTTTAACCCTCATTTCAGAGATGACCTGCGGCTCCTGAGGCAGAAGAGAAAGACACAGGAGAGCTGTGCCCAGTCCTATGTGTCAGAGGTCACAGAGAAGAGCTCGTATGACTCTACCCAGGCCCTCGTTGCTTTTTCTGACATGGATCACATCTTTGAGGCACCAGACATCTATGGAGTGCCTCCTAGGTGCTCATCAGTCCTAGATGCCTACAACAACTTCCCTTCAGTAACTCTCATTCCACACCAGCGAAAGGCAGGTGCCAGAGGACATGACAGTGTTTTTTCCACCCACCTCTCTTACCTGGCTGACGATGAGCTGCTACTCACATCAGAAAATGGCGATGCAGCCAAGAGCAGCCTTCGGATTGCCTTGTTGCCCACACCAACTGCACCAGCTTTCACATCTCACTTGTAAAGAGTGCTTCAGCCTCTCAGACCCATTGCGAATTCCCTCAGTGAAAAACCTGTGCAACAGCACAGCCTCTAGCTACCCAGAGCTTGGAGCAAAGGCTGTTCTGGGGCAAAGAGTCACCCAATCTATTGCTTCATCTGGAAGCAAAGCTTGATGGCCTGCAAGGTGCTGCCAACTCCATGTATTGCTTGCCGGAGCATTGTTTCCTCCCCTCCTGCTGCAGCAGTGTGAGATAAAGTGTCCCTCACCAAAGGGAAATACAGTATAGGGAAGCACTGCATTCAAAGCCTCTGATAAAAGAAGACAAGCTATTACAGTATATAGGAAAGCCAAGGCTGCAGTAAAACTAGGAGCTGTTGTGTAGCCTAATCAATCATGTCTTGGCTTACTGGGGAATTTTTAAAATTCCCGATTCTAATGAATTGTGTGTGATAGACAACATATCATACTGGAGGATTACTCTCAGAAAATGTATTTGCGAAGACTTTCATGGCCAGGATCTAATGGTTGTTGTGGGTTTTTCAGCCAAAGAGCCCGAAAAACCCACAACCACCACTCTCAGAAAATAATCAATCATGTCTTGGCTTACTGGGGAATTTTTAAAATTCCCGATTCTAATGAATTGTGTGTGATAGACAACATATCATACTGGAGGATTACTCTCAGAAAATGTATTTGCGAAGACTTTCATGGCCAGGATCTAATGGTTGTTGTGGGGTTTTCAGCCAAAGAGCCCGAAAAACCCACAACAACCACTCTCAGAAAACTTTGTTCTCAATGAAAGGGTAGGAATGATTCTGAATGAAGCCATGACTAAAAGGCTATTCACCAGAGTGTTATGTAGGCATCACTGTGCCTGCTACAGAGCAGATAACACCAATCACATATAACATTTAAGGCTCCAACATCAGACTTTCCTCTCACCTCCTGTAATCACACATCATCATGTTAGTAGACCGACAGACATAATAATCACATATAACATTTAAGGCTCCAACATTTAAGGCTCTCACCTCCTGTAATCACACATCATCAATTCTGATCTATAAAAAGGAGCTGACGGCCATGGACAGACCTTTGATTTGGAATGTTGTAGTTTCACAGAGCCCGTTTTTTTTCAGGATTGATGCAGCGATAAAGAACCCATTTTCAGGGGTAACAATCAATTCTGATCTATAAAATGGAGCTGACAGCCATGCACAGACCTTTGATTTGGAATGCTGTAGTTTCACAGAGCCGATTTTTTCAGGATTGGTGCAGCTACCTGAGCAGAAATGCCTAAAATTTAACTCCCATGAAATTAATGCACCCCAAACAAAGGTCTATTATTATAGTATGAGTGCATGTGCAGCCAATGGGAGTGGCAGAAGATAATCCCACCTTTCCAGACCATGTGAGTTTGTAGCTCACTCTTTAGCACAGGTTACATCCCTGTGTCTGTGGGTTTGCTTGAACTAACTGTAAGTAACAAGAACTAGAGTCTATGAGTTAAAAAGCAATGCAAGGAAAAGGGTGTGTTTTCATCTGTAGTCTGACCTACATCAAGACTCAAAACGTTTAGATTGCATATAGATTTCATGCCTTGTACCATCCATTACATTTTTGGAATTGCCAGTGCCATGAGAAAGAAAGCTAAGTATGGCACAGATCCATCATAAGCCAAAGACTGCCAGAATGAAATATTTTTATCCACTATGTAAATCCAATGCAGGATTGTTGCAGCTAAAGCCAGCTATTACAAACAAAGGAACCAAATTACAGTGCCATGATTCTACGACTGAAATCCAATAGTAACTCACACTAGAGTAGGCCCACTGAATCCTTGGAACTTAGAGAAGTGTTGACTTACCAAATCCTCTCTGATTGAATGTGCCTACTCTCATTGTGACTTACTACACTAGGCAAGAGGATTTGAGCCATTAAGCAAGTGCCAAATATAAAGGTTCAACATTTTTCATTTCAGAAGACAGCAGTGTGTATTGACTTTCAGTATCACATTTCCAGATTTCTTTGTAATTCAAAGACAGAAATCACAAGAGAAACCTTTTCACCCAAAGAAACGAACATTCTTAGAAAGAGCACTGTGTGAGCTGACAGACTGGAAACAAACAATGACATAGGGGTTTGTCTTGAGTTTAACCTTACTGTACGCAATTAGAGGTATTGAGGAGCTACTCCATACAAGTTATGTCTTTCTACAGTTTATTTAATTTATGTCTTAAAAAGCAAAAGCAAAGTGTGGCACTTATGCGCTGCCCCACAGTCCTTCACTCTCTGGGCAGTTTACAATTTAATTCTGCAGGCTAGTTTGCCCCATCACCCCACGCAGCTGGGTACTCAATTTACCAACCTTGACCTTGGAAGGATGGAAGTCTGAGTGAACCTCAAGCCAGCTACCTGGGACTGAACCCGGGTCATGAGCAGAGTTTTGGCTTATGTACTGCAGTTTAACCACTGTGCCATGAGCTCCCCTAGAAAGAACAAGCTATGGGAATTATCTTAGCTGTTTAAGACCTCTGGATTGCCGGAATAGCCTGTTCTTGGCTGCAAAGGCATAGCTCCCAAAGGCAACTAATAAATTGTCCAGTGCAGTAGGACGAAGTTCCTGCCAGTAATTTGTAAGTAGCATTTTAATATAATGGAGGACAGACTAGAGTGTCTGGAGTACGGGTACTCCTATGCATGAAAGCTTTTGATAGAGTTAGGAGAAAACCCTTAAAGTGAAATACAGAAATAGGAAACTGAAGAACAGGCATGTGTCATTTTCTTCTATGCCCTGGAACCTAATTTTGTCAAAAGTAGTAATTTTGGTTACTGTAGATTTCTGCTTGAGTGAGAACCAGAACTCTACAATTTCCATTTCTACCTATGTTCACGGAGACACAATTATAGGAATGGAATTTGGGTAACATGTCTTGCTAAAGGTTGTGATGCCTTAGCCAAAAGAAGGGTGCAAACTTCAGGATGGACATTCTGACAATTGTCCATAATGGACAATTATGAATTAGCAAATAGTTGGATTCCTAACATAGCCAATTAATCAAGGCAGCTGCCAGCCAGGTTGGAACTTCTTTCAACAACAAAGCAGGCAAAGGGCAACTTGTGCACCAAATTGCTAATTCAAACATCAAATCCATCATAATTTATATGCCTGCAAATTAAATACAGTAGCTTATACAACCTACATCTACAACGAAATTCCAAAAAAGGATGAAGATTAAAGGAATTGCCTGCATTTGCTAGAACCATTTATGCAGGAAAAAATATAGTTCAGTTCTAAACTTGTCTACCCATTCTTGTCCCACTCAAAATATATGCCACTGAGTTTAATGAGATTTACTCTTTAGTAAATGCATTTAGGATTGCTAACTTTGGGACTGGATCTGCAAGGTGCTAACATGTATGAGTCCTCATGAAATGTATTTTGATTACTCTGTAGAAAGAAGTATTCTGACACATTTAAAAAAAGGTTACAGTGCAACAGAATTAAGTAGTCAATATTTAAGCTCAGTATTTGAATGGGTTCAAATATGTTCCATTTGTTACCCAGTAATTCAATATACCTCCTATTAACTTTGCCAAAATTGTATTGCATCTTAAATGTTTTCATGGGCTTAAGCAACATTATCAGATGCTGGTAGAGTTTTGAGAAAATCTTGAAAACATTTTGGAAATGTGCTGAAAAACAGATTGCTTTTAGGAAAATGAAACAAAGTTTGCAAATGACACGCTTGTCTATTCTCCTAACAGCAGGGACCGTTCTTTTCAGCTTAAATTCCTGATGCAAACTGATCCTGTCCGTTGCACATAGGTCAAGTGCTCACAAAACTTCCGGCTACTGCAGTAGTGGAGATCCTAGGATCTCGAAGCTCTATAAATACCAAACATTCCTCAGTTACCACACACCATTTAACCATTAGTCTCTGAACATCCTTTTCAAGTGAAGAAAAGAACTATCCTTCCTAGTCTCAGCTCCTGATTTCCCAAAGGGCTAAAGATTTAAAATTCAGTGTTTAAAAAACCATGTAGTTTCAGAATTTTTATTGTCTACCAGATACTCATTAGAAATAGAAATCATTGAACAGTCATGTTTATGCAGGGCATGAAAAGGGTCAAGAGTCTATACATTATAGACTAAAAATGCTCCCAGAAGATCATGCAACATTGGTATTGTATCAGCATCATCCACAAAAAGCTGGGGGCTAGCTAGCAAGGAGAATGGATTGCATGGTTCCCTCTGTGGAAGGTTGACTCATTATTTTTTCTCCACATAATATGTGTCGGGCTTGAGTCTACCTGACACACAAGTGATCCAGTGAAGACAGTAGCCACTGTCAACGGCTAAACCATTCCAATGTCTTTTGGCTTAGATGCATTTGTTCTATTGCCATTCATCTTACAAAATCTTATACGCAAAATCCTTACAACATTTACCACTGACATGGCTATGTCCAAAATTATATCAACATCTCGTCCCATACTGAAGTCAATATTATCTGATGAAATGCCTTTACACACCGTGTATGTTATTGTCTGTATATACATGCCATATAAGCCATATCCAGCATGTGTGCGTTTGTATATTTTGTGTATATTTATATAGAGATATATATAGCCATTTTCCCTCTCATTTTGTCCCTTGTTTGAACTCCTTTCTTTTTGTATATTGATTTGTAAAGCATTCTCTATGGAGAAATGTGTAGAAAATTAAAAACTGTAATTTCAAAACTACCATCTTACATTGTTTCAATGGCAGTTTGAAGATGAGATTTTAGGCTGTTCCCCATATGCCTGAACACTTTATCACTGCAGTATTTGGATCTCTTTAGTCCACCTTTCTGTATGATGGGTCTGAGGACTGTAGGCAAAGAATTGCTTGATTATGAGGTGGCTTGTAAGGAGATCATCACCCCACTGATCAAATAAAAACTAGACTTGAGTTTCGTGATACGTACTCCAAGATCACTTATCGAATAGCCAGATTTTGTATGGTGATATTCAGGCCTGAGAAATTCCATGGTAACTATATACTAGATTTTAAATTGTGTTTTAAATGCAAATGCTTTTTTATGAAGTACCTGAAATTTTGAAATGTTATGGTAGCTAGATAATAGATTTTAATTGCTCTTTTAATGTCAAATGTTTTTAAAAGGTATTTGGAATGTTGGAAACTGGAAACGTCTATGTTTTTCCCCCTGTGTGATTG